CGATCGAGGAGACCGAAGATGAGGAGTCGCCGATGCTTGCATTGGAGGCACAGGTAACATCCGCGGAGACTCCATCTAGTGTTTATGCAGTCCCGGACCCCTACGACGTGTTGCTCCTGAGTCCGAAAGATATGCCGCAGCCTCCAGACGCAGTGAAGGAGTCACCTTCAGTCACTCGCCCCATCACCACATTCCTCGGTCTCACTCGGAACGTCCCTTTCCAACTCGGGCACACCACGCTTGACCTTCGGACCCATAGTATTTGGGGACCAGCACACGACATCCGATGTCGACCCTTCGACATCATAACCGAGAGCCTGGTTCGGAACTTCGGTGACAAGGAGCGATACAGTACAGCACACGAGCCCAACTCCGACATTATATCGACCACACCGATGTTCCTTAGGTGGAAGCCGAAGCTTCGGCCCTATCCGGACAAGCACCGATGACCAGCCAGACGCACTCCTCTTCGATTCCAGTGCCGACTGGACAGCCGCAATCGTTGAGCAAGCAGATACCCAAGTCGGCTCTTATTTCTCAGCTATAACTCCTATTCCTACGACCAGCGACGACTTTCCCTCTCTATATCTCCTTATGTGCTATAATTGACAAATCCAACAACGCCTTTTCTACTCCTGGCCTTGCGCCGACGTCTAAATTGATTCCACAATCCTCCGAAAATACCGAAAACCATCAAAACCAGTTCTCCGGCCCACTTTCTTAGGGCGACTCTACTTCCCAAGTACAATATTCTCAGAAATCTGTTCGCCGACGTTCCGACTCTCAACCCTTGACCTCCAGGTTTCTTGCCGACAGCATGCGATCACCGAGCCCATTGGCACACTCGCCGCCTGGCCTGTTTTCCACTCTCCGAGTTTTTCCATATGTCCCACCGAGTTTCCTATTTTTTTACCCTATTGTGCCCTGCTGCAGTTCTTCCCCTTCGCCGACATTCTACCCAGTATCCCCGACGTCCGAACCCTTGCTCAGCATCTCCGAGGAGAGCTTCTCGCTTTGGCTTTCATGACAGTATCCCCCTTTGACATCGCGACCAGACCACCGATGGAGATTGAGGAGCGTACCAGAGTAGAGATGGACTTCATTGAGAGACAGGCGATGGCGATGGAGACTGAGGACAGTCTAGATTTCAGTATGGGGGAGGATGATAGGCCTCAGGTGCCGCTAGCCTCCGAAAACGCATTTTCGGTGTTTCTAACGACTTCTCGGAGCACTCCACCACTCCCATTCACCTCCGACA